CGCTTCCTTCCGTCCTTCCTTCCTTCCTTCCTTCCTTCCTTCCCTCCCTCCATCCCTCCCTCCATCCCTCCCTCCATCCCTCCCTCCATCCCTCCCTCCATCCCTCCCTCCATCCCTCCATCCCGTTGCTCCCGGTGTTTTTGCCCTGACTGCTGCTCCCTGTCCATCCCGACATTCCCGGTTCTTCCCGATATTCCCAGTCCTTCCAGCTGTTTCCCATCCTGCCTGCTTTTCTTGCCCTTCTCGATGTTCCCTATCCAGCCCTTCCCGATTTCCCTCTCCCCCTTTCCCGGCCCTTCCCGATTTCCCTCTCCCCCTTTCCCATCTCTCCCATCCCCAGGGGCAGCCCCAGCTGTGGGAAAAGGGAATTTTCTTCCCTCCCTGCCGGGCATTCCCAGCTGGATCCCTGCTCCTGTTCCCACCTCTGCACCCCGGGCTTGGAGTCCGGGTGTGAACACTCAGGAAATCAAGCGAGCTTTTAAGTCAAGTTTAGTTAAACCGAGCCCATTTGGAGGCTTAAATTACTTTTAAAGAGCAGCCTGCCTAATCCTGGTCCTTCCCCAGCCGGGTTTAATGGACGCTTTCCACTTTCCTTAAAGGCCAAACGCGTTTTAAGGTCACGGATATCTCTGAAATCGCTTTTTTTCCTTCCCATCTCCCTTTTTTCCCCCATCTCCAATGAGCAGCGCCACTTCCAGAGTTTACAAAATAAATAAATCAAATTAAAAAGTCGTTTCCGTCAAGATTTTTTTCTTTTTTTTCCCCCTTTTTTCTTTCCCCTCCTTCCCATTTCTTTTTTTTTTTCCCCCATCTCCAATGAGCAGCGCCACTTCCAGAGTTTACAAAATAAATAAATCAAATTAAAAAGTCGTTTCCGTCAAGATTTTTTTTTTTCTTTTCTTTCTTTTTTTTTTTTTTTTCTTTTTTCTTTCCCCTCTTTAAAGCTCCCCGGCTCCACACAAGAAGAGAAACCATCAATCTTTTTCCCCCCAAAGACTTTCTGACAGCTCGCCCTGACTCACTCAGCAAAGAAATTTCCCACTTTTTTAACCCAGGGGAAGAATTAAAATCTTTAACCCGCCTCTTTCAAGAGTAAAAACTCCAAATTTCACCGTGGAGAAGGGGAGAAATTAAAAAATTTAATTTTTGGGGGGGATGAAAAAGGAGATTTTTGGGGTTTTGGAGGTTTTTTTTTGCTGGCAATTCCCAGCCGGGAAGGCTCCGATCCCGCAGGGAGAAGCCTGGAAACTTTTGTCACTTCAAACAATCAAAATTCAAAAACACTTCAAAAATCCGCGTGGGTGGGGAGGCTTTGGGAGGGAATAAATCTAAAACTCATTTAGCCAGGGGGGAAAAGCAAATCATTATCATAATTAAAAAAACACCGAGCGCAAAGTGAATTTCCCCGAGGTTTTTGGGGTTTTTTTTTGTGATTTCGCTTATGGGAAACACCAAAAAATTCGGTTTAATCCATTCAGGTGGGTGGATAAAATTGAAATTATTTGGGTTTTGGGGGTTGCTGGAGGGTTTAAAGTGGATTTTTGGGGTTCTCGGGTTTTGTCTGTGGTGGGAATTCCGGGTTTTTGAAGGATGGAGGAGTTGGGATGAAGAGGAAGAATTTGGGATGAGAAATTTTCCCCAGGCAGGAGAAAATAAAAAGAGGGGGGGGGTGAAAAGGGGGAAAAATGAGAAAAGGGGGAATAAAAAGGGGGAAAAATGAGAAAATGGGGAAAAATGAGAAAAGGGGGGAATGAAAAAGGGAAAAAATGAGAATCGGGGGGGAATAAAAAGGGGGAAAATGAGAAAATGGGGATGAAAAGGGGGGAAATTGAGAAAAGGAGGGAATGAAAAAGGGAGGAATGAAAAGAGGGAAAAATTAAAGGAGGGGAAATGAAAAGGGAGGGGGAAAAATGAAAAGAAGGAGGGTGAAAAGAGGGAAAAATGAGAAAAAGAGGGAAAATGAAAAGAGGGAAAAATAGAAATGGGGAAAAAATTAAAAGAGGGAAGAATTGAAGGAGTGGAAAATGAAAAGGGGGAAATGAAAAGGGGGAAAAATGAGAAAAGGAGGGAAGATGAGAAGAGGATTAAAATGGAATTTGGGAAAAATGTGAAGATGGAGAAATGAAAAGAAGGAGGATGAAATGAAGGATGAAAAGGAGGATGAAAAGAGGGAAAAATGAAATGGGGGGAAGAAAAGGAGGATAAAAAGAGGGAAAAATGAAATGGGGGGGAAGAAAAGGAGGATGAAAAGAGGAAAAAATGAAAGGAGGGGAAAAAGAAAAGAGGAAAAATTAAAAAAAAAAAAAAGAAAAAATTAAAAAAACTCTTGCGGGAAACGGGGATTTCTTTTTTCCCACGCATCAAACGGAGGCACAAGGGGGGAAAAATAAATCTCCCAACTCCAGGGGAGAGGTTTCGCATCCTTGGGATAAATTCCCGGAGTTCCCGAAGGAGAGAAAAACCCCAAAATTCCCGCTGGGAACAGCCCGGAGCTGCTGCTTTAAAACCGAGCAGGAAGCGGAGCCCACGGAGGACGCGTCACGGCCGGAATTGGAATTTTTTTTTTTCCCGTTTTCCCTGGTTTTAACCATTTCCTGGGAATCCCTGGCGCAACATGGCGCCCGGGAAAAAAAAAAATAAAGTATTGGGAATGGGAGGGGGAGGAGAGAAATCGCGGCCCTTGTTGTGAGAGTGGGTTTTAATTGTAAATATTAATTAAATCTGGATTAAATCGCACGGCTCGAGGTGGGAATTGTTCCTTGGGATGGGTGGGAAAATTCCCTGGGATGAGTTTTATTGGAGCTCCAAGGTTGGGATTATTTTATTTTAATTTCTTGAATTTATCCTGGCTGGTGGATAAAATGAATGAAGTGGGAAATGTGCAGGAAATAGAAATATGGTGGGTGAATTATAGGGGATAAAAAGGTTAAAAAAAATATAGGGTATGTAGGGTGTAAAATTGAAAAAAAAATATAGGATATAGGGTATAAAATATAAAAATATGTAGGGGATAAAAATAGAAAATAGGAAAGTAGAAAATATAAAAATAGAAAATAGGAAAGTAGAAAATACAAAAATAGAAAATAGAAAAGTAGAAAATATAAAATATACTACAGAAAATATAGGGTATAGAAAATATCCTGTGTAAAATATAGGATATAAATATATATGAAATATATAGTAGATATAAAAATATAAAAGATGTCATATATATAAATGTATAAAATAGAAAATATACTGTATAAGATATAGGATATAGGCTATAAATATATAAATATATCATAGATATAAAAATATAAAATATATATTTTTAAATATTATATATAAAATATATGAGATATTTATATATAATATATAAATATATAATATATTTTTATAAAATATATATCTATAAATACATATTTATATATTATATATATATAAAATATGCAATATATATAAATATATAAAATATATAAACGACATAAAACACAAAATATAAATCCCACTCGCTGCTTCTACAACACCCACCCCCTTTTTTTTTTATTTTTAATTATTTTTGGGGGGTTTTTTGATCCCTTTTTTAGCTTTTCCACCCTTTTCTCGTGGCCGCAATGAAATTCCCAAATCCCCCTCTCCTTCCCCTCCTCCTCCTCCTCATCCCCAGCTTTTCCAAGCCCTTCCCAGCGCCATAAAACTTTTATTGCCCCTCGCTGCTTTAAATGAAGTTTTCTTAGGGCTTCAGAGCATAAAAAGCAAATTATTCACGGCCTTCTCCCGTCTGCTTTCGCTTCTCCCTTTTCACATTTTCTGCTTTTTGGGGTTTTATTTTTCCCCCTTTTTAAATAAATTTTGGGGTGCCCGGGGAGGTGTGGCTGGGTGTTGGTGCTCACGCTCGTATTTTAGAAATAATCCCATTTTTCTCACCAGAACTCCGTTCTTTCAGCCAGAATCCGATTATTTAATTTTCAATTTAATCATATAATAATTATCCATTTCATTCCTCTTCACTTCCCAAGGCCTCGGGATGGAAACTCTGGGGCCGTTTTTCCTTTTATTTTTTATTTTCCTTTTTTTTTTTTCCCCCGCCTCCCTCTCTCCTTGTTTTTATTTATATTTTTTTCCTTTTCCATGATTAATCCCTTTTCCTTTGTTTTCATTCCCTCTCCAATGGCAGCCCAGCCCTGGCTCCACGTGATCCCTCTTTGTGGACTCCCGAATTCCCAGGATTTCACCCCAAACCAGGACTCCTCTCTCAATCCCTTCCTTTACTCCCCATCATCCCATTCCATTTTTTTTTTTTTTAATTTTCACCCCTCAAATCCTTTATAATTTTATTTTTTTTATGGGGGGAGTGGGATAATTCTATTTTTTTCCTTTTCCCACCTCCAAATCCGACGAGGATAGGGACGAGATAAAATCCATAGCAGAAAGTTTATTCAGGAATTGTTCACCAGACAACCCTTGAAGCGAGGAGAGAAAAGAACTACTGTAAGAACAAAGAAAGAGCTCCCAAGAGGAGGGGAGGGAGGGGAGGGATTCGCGATGAAATTCTTCTAATTCAGGACTAAACAATTACAGTCTGGTTCTGCTCTCATGCCTCCAGAACTAATTACATTATTCATAAGTACCGAGGTAACATAAAACTACTGCTTCTCCCTAAATTACAATAAACTAAAATAAGCTCGTGGTACAATGACAAGGGGAGCACAACGTCCTTTTTTTTGAGGGTTTTTTTGGGTTTTTTTTGGGTTTTTTTCCTGCATTTTTTAAAATTTTTTGTTATTTTTTTTAAAGGAAATACTAAAAAAAAAAAGTATCCCTTTGATACTTACTTTTATGTCTTTTTTTTTTTGTTTTTTTTTCTTGTTTCTTTTTTCCCTTGTTTTTCCCTCGTATAAATACATCGTCTCGCGGGGATAAATATTACCAAAAAACCAACCAAAAAAAAAATTAAAAATTAAAAAAAAAAAAGAACCCTTTGGTTCTTTACTTTTTTGTTTTTTTTTCTTGTTTCTTTTTTCCCTTGTTTTTCCCTCGTATAAATACATCGTCTCGCGGGGATAAATATTACCAAAAAACCAACCAAAAAAAAAATTAAAAATTAAAAAAAAAAAAGTAAAATATTTTCAACTGCCTATAACCAATAAATATATCTGAATGTTCACCAGAACACACACCTAACTGAAGGGCGCCTCCACGGAGCTGAGAGCCCTTCAAAGTTGTTGTTTTTTTTTTTTTAATTATTTTTTAATTATTATTATTATTATTATTATTTAATACCCATTATATGTAAACTCTAAGTGCAACAAAGATGTCCAGGCAGGAAAGCATCAACAAATCCCAGGGATCTCCTGGCTTCTGCTTCCGTGGGAGGACATTCCCTCTGTTCAAATATACCCTGTTTTCACGTAAAAGGAGAGGAGGAAAGAAGTTCAGGATTTCTCCAATTTGGGGTTTTTTTTTTCCTGCTAAAACCCTAAAAAAAAAATCCCCCCCCCCCAAAAAAAACCAAAAAATAAAAACCCCTTCCCCAAATTGGAGAAATTGATCCTAGAGCAAGGAAGGGAAATATTCAGACCTGTCAATTCTTTCTTCCTCTCTTTGGAATTCTTGGTTGGGGGGAAAAAAGGGGGGATTTAGGCGTTCCCCCGGAATTTTCCTCGTCCCGTTGTGGTGCTCAGACCTTTTCCATCCCGTTTTTTTTTTTTTTTTTTTGCTTTTTTTTATTTTGCCTTGTTGTTGTTTTGGAGAGGGGGAGCAGGGCCTGGAGGGACGAGCGTGGCTCTCCGGCCTCGGCAGGTGTGGAGATTGGGAGTTTTGGGGGCGATCGGTGGGAAGGGACCCGGTGGGGAATTGGATTTATCCCATTTCCAGTGGGGAACTGGATTTATCCTTTTCCAGTGGGGAAATTGGATTTATCCTTTTTCCAGTGGAGAAAGCGGATTTATCCCATTTCCAGTGGGGAAATTGGATTTATCCCTTTTTTGGTGGGGAAAGTGGATTTATCCTTTTCCGGTGGGGAATTGGATTTATCCCTTTTCCAGTGGGGAAATTGGATTTATCCTTTTTCCAGTGGGGAAAGTGGATTTATCCTTTTCCGGTGGGAAAAGTGGATTTATCCTTTTCCGGTGGGGAATTGGATTTATCCTTTTCTGGTGGGGAATTGGATTTATCCCTTTTCCAGTGGGAAAGGACGAGCCCTCCTCTGAAGGCTGGGAAGGAAAGCACGGTTGGATCTGGAGAAGGACACGGAGGAGGTGGGAGCTTCCCAGTGGATCCCTTTGGGGTTTCGTGGATGCAGAGACCCCGAAATTCGGCTTCTTCTCCTTCCCAGCACCCGGGAACGATCGGTGACCATCCCAACGTGGCTTGGACACCCCATGGGATTCCCACAAAACCACCCCGAGCCCGTTCCCGAAGAAATTCGCATCGAGACCCCCAGGAGGTTTCTCCCTTCCGAAACCACCGCGAACTCTCGCATTTTGTGCTTCGCCAACCCCAAAACCCCGAGCGCGACAACCCCAAAACCTCCGCGGCGAGGCCGGAGAGAAACCCAACGCCGACATCCCTGAAACCCAAACTTCCCCTTGGCTTCCCCCATCCCGACGGCCTCCCCCTCTCACAGGTGGGTGAGCTTGGGCGCCTCTTGGATTCTGCCCTGAGAAGTCGCGTGGTGCGAGGAGAGCTCCGCGTACGCGGCGTGGCTCTCGCACGGTCCGTGGGGCTGGCCCGGCGGCGCCCCACCGTAGTCCACGCCGGCGGCCTGGTGGTGCGGCAGGTGGTTGAGGCCGTAAAGGGACGGGCCGGAGGCGGGCAGAGAATCCACAAAGTTCCCCGCGCCGTACGCGGGGCTGCCCTGCACGCCGGCGGTGCCGTAGGCCACCCCGTTGGCCTGCAGGACGTGCGGCTCGTACTCGGCCGCGCCGGCGGCCCCGGCATATTTCTGCTGGCCGGGGCAAGCCTTGAGGGGCGCTTGGTAGCCGGGGGCAGCCACGGCGTAGGCGTTTTGGTGGGGTTTGCTGAAGGAAGGCGGCGACGGCGCCTCGTAGGCGCCGCTCATGGGGTGCAAGGCGTTGAGGAACCCCGCCGAGGCCTGCATGGGCTGCGGGGGGCTGCCCGCCGGGGAAGGCCCTCCGGAGGAAGAGCCCACGCCTTTGGATTTCTGATCCTTTTTGTACTTCATCCTCCGGTTCTGGAACCAGATCTTGATCTGGCGCTCGCTGAGGTTCAGCAGGTTGGCCATCTCCACGCGCCGCGGCCGGCACAGGTAGCGGTTGAAGTGGAATTCCTTCTCCAGCTCCACCAGCTGAGCGCTGGTGTAGGCCGTGCGCGCCCTCTTGGAGGCCGAGGAGCCCGGGGGGCTTTTCTCGCCGCCGCTGCAGGTTTCTGCCGGGGCCCCCGGAATGAAATAAAAGAGAATTACTTACACGCAGAAATTGAATGCGTCGGTTCTTAATAAATCCTCGCCTTCCTCTCCCCCCACCCCGCCCGCCCCTCCGCATTAGCCTGCACTCCATAATCGTGTCATTTATTAAGAGTTCTGTTCTCCAAAGCTGCCCCTGCTTTATGAAAATTTGATCATGTCATGTAGAAGAGGATTCCAGGGCCATTTATTGAGGGCTCGATTATTTCCAGCGGATAATTTCCCAGAAAATAACGTTTGGCGGGATGGGGTGGGGGGGAGGCGGCCGCTGCCGCGGGGCCAATTAGCGCAGGGCCAATTAACGGGGGGTTGGGAAGGGTTTGGTTTGCACACAGGTGCAGCACCAATATTTGCCTCCGCACCCACCTTTCCCAGAGGTAAACACCATGAATTACGTCCGCGGTGGGTAAAGAGTTCACCACGAGGTTTGTGAGAACGGATTTGCCAAAATTTTGCTAAATCCGGGCTGGATTTTTGGGTTTTATCTGCTTGGAGTGGTGGGACACGTGGAGAAGATGGATGTGGTGCCTCATCTGCTCTCTCTGAGGGGTGGGAAGGCACCGAGCAGAATTTTAGGATTGGGATGAGCCCTTGGGAGCGCATTTTCCCCGTATTTGTGTCCAGCCTGGGCTGGGGACGACGCCCCGGCCGCGTTTCCCTCTGCGGTTGTGTTTGAAATAAACCGGGAGCGGGTGGGCGGTGCCCGGGGCCGGGATCCGCTCTGGAATCTCCCAGGATCACCTGGGATTCCTTCACCTCCCAACAAACCCGCTCTGCCCAGGGACCAAATCCGCTCTGCTTCTGAGACCTCGCGCCGGCATCGGTCAAGGGAAATACCCAGACCCGTCAACTCTTTCTTCCTCTCTGTGGAATTCGAAAAATTGGAATTTGGGCCTCCCCTAAACCCATTCTCCAAGCCTTTGTAATTCTTGGACCTCTCTTTGGAATTTTTTGGGGGAAAAGGGGAATTTGGACTTTTCCTAAACCCATTCTTCCAACCTTTTATGATTCTTAGACGTCTGCCTGGAATTTTGGGCAGGAAAAGTGGAATTTAGACCTTTCCTAAACCCATTCTTCCAACCTTTTATGATTCTTAGACCTCTCTGTGGAATTTTGGGTGGGAAAAGTGGAATTTGGGCCTTCCCTAAACCCATTTCTCCAACCATTTGAGATTCTTAGACCTCTCTGTAGAATTCTGGGGTCAAAGATGGGAATTTAGACCTTCCCTAAACCGATTCCTCCAACCCTTTGCGATCCTCGGGCCTCGTTTATCAATACTTTTCTCCATTTTTAGCCTCGTCCTTTTGGAGCTGGGGAGGGCAGAGCGCGTCACCGAGGCCTGGCGAGCTACCTGCGCTGGGCGAGCCGTTCTTCTGCTTGGAATTCTGCCTCGACTCCTTCATCCAGGGGAAGATCTGCTTGGAGATGCCGGCTCCGAGATTGGCTTTCCCGGCGGCGCTTTTCCCGCCGCCGGCCTGGCCGTTGCCGCCGCCGTTGTTGGCGTTGGGCGAGCCCGGCGTCTCCGGGGCCAAACCGGGCCGCATGCAGCTCCCGTTGAGCTCTTTATTTTTGCCGTGCGGGGCGGCGTTGCCGAGAGACTGCAGGGAGCAGGCGGACCTCTGGAAGTCGTTCTCCATGTGGGAAGCGGCTTGGAAAGGCTGCTGGGCACCCTCGTAGCCGAATCCATTGGCGCCGCCGCCGTAGGAGTAACCCCCGAAGAGCGTGGAGCTGTCGTAGTACGAGGCCTTCTGCATCTTCCGAGAGGGTTTTTTTGGCTACCAGGGTCTTGACACCCCTCTGGCAGAACATTGGCACCCCGAGGCCACGTGACGGCCCCTCTCCAGCTGTCTGGTGGGAGCTGACCTGAAAGGTTAGGAGAAAACACACAATAATAGTGCCCGGCCCAGGAATCCATCTTGGGGCCTGAAAGGCCCGTGACATGAATAGGGGTCCCGCGGAACGGGGGGAACAGATGCCGCCGGCAGATTTCACCCTCCCGAGGCTCCGCCAACGGGGCAGGGGATGATTTGGATGATTTGGAGGAGTTTGGGGGTGGCCGGGATGGGTTTTTTTTACCCCCCCACCTCGGTTTGGCTCCGTGCGTTTTATTTAGGGCGCGTTTATCCCCCCGCGGAAATCCCCGCGGGAGCGAACCGCACACGCGTTTACACACCCGGCCCCGGAGAAAAGCCGAATTGTCGCAAATATCACAGCACAGAGCGCAGAATTGCTGGCCACGAACGCTCAACTCTCGCTATTTCCGTTTAAACCGGCTCCTCACGCCCCCAAAAATCCTTCCACCAGCAGAAATCCCAAGTTTACCGCCAGGGTTGGTTTGGTTTTGAGGCGCCAGCAGCGAATATCCGTGGTTTTAATCCAGGTAACGCCGTCCTGGCACGCTTGGCTCCCTTTTTTTGTTTACGCAGGAACTCTCAGCGCCTCTGGAATTCAGGGCAGAGATTTCCAGCGGATCCGAGCAGGGACAAGAATTCAAGATCGCGCTTCCCCTGCTCGGGGTGTCTCTCTCCCCCTCTCTCTGGTAGCACAGGTTGAATTTAGAAAATAAATTTGTATTTTTTTTTTTATTTTCCCTGCAGGGTTTTGTATTTCTCATCTCAAATCCAGAGCTGCCGCTGGGATGGTGCCGATTCCAAACCCACCGCTGCTGTTATTTTCCTTTTTTTTTTCTCTCTCTCTCTCGGAAAACAAACACTTGACGAGGCCATTTGCTTCTCACTTTCCACCCCTTGGATTTTCCAGCCTTCCTCCCTCCCTCAATCCAAGCTCCAAAAGTCTAAAATAAAAAAAAAACCCATCCCAAAGCTTAAAATCAAAAATTTCTTAAAATGAAACCTCCCCTCTTTTTTTTTTTTCCAATTCTCTCTCTTTTCTCCTTATTTTTCTCCATCTCTTTCCTCTTTCGCTTTCCTCCCAGCGGAAACTTTCTCCTCCCTAAAGGCAGAGTAGAAACACCCCCAAAAAAAACCCAATAAAAGGGTGAAAACTCCTCGGAAATAATCAGAGGGATTTTTTAAAAAGCCAAAGACTCCTCTCCGCAGCCCGGAGCCCGCAAGGAGCGTTTGTTTGGGGATTGATATCCATTGTATATTTAATTGTACCTCTTGTATATTCAATTTTATCTGGGCCTCTTTCATCCTGCAAAGCAAAACAAAACAAACCCCGCGGAGATAAAGCCCAACGCGATATTTTTAAGTGCCGGGGCTTTAACAGAAGCCTCAGCTCGATAATAAATAACATTTTTTTTCCTCCCTTCTTTTCCCGGGCTGCTGTTTTTATGTGGAAAGCTTCGTTCTCTTCACCCCTCAGAGGTGCTCGGGGTTTGTTGTTTTTATTTTTTTAATTTTTTTTTTCCCAATCCTGATGGAAAAATCCTTCCTGCATTCCCAAAATCTTCCTGGGAGCTGCGTTATTGTCTGCGCAGATCCTGGCTGGGAGTTATTCCCCTCCGCCTCCCTGGCCATGATAAATTTGTCTTATTAAAAAGTAGCCTCCGCTCCCCGAGCCGTGAATTAATTAATTAACAAACAGCAGCGCCTTTATTATGAATAGGTTTGGAAATATCTGCCGGGGGGGGGCAGAGGTGGGAATTTCTCCAAGGCCTGGAAAATATTTCTTTTTTTTTTTTTTAAAAAAAAAAGAAAAATAAAAACCCCCAAAAAATCAACAAAACGACCCCAAACCAAGGCTGGGGTGAAAGCAGCTAAAAATAACCACAATGGGGTTTTTTTTTTCTGTATTTTTTTTTGTGTCCTTGTTGTTTTAAACGTCCATAAAATAAATTTACGACCCCCTTCGCCTCGCTCGTGGCTTCCACAGCTTCGCTTTGTACCTCATCTCTCAGCGCCTCACAAATGCCGCTCATTTATCTTCGCCGGGGACGGCCGCAATCCTAATTATTTACTCCAAGGAATTGCTTAGGAAAAAAAAAAAAAGGAAAAAAAAAAAAAAAAATCCCGGGCAGAATAATAAATATTCGATGATCTCCTGTTCCAATTAAAAGCGGGCGGGAGCTGCCCCGGCCCTCTCCGAGTTTCACTTTTGGTTTTTTTCCCCCACAAACTCTTTGCCCGTAACTTTGGAAGGGCAAAATTTGGGGTGTTGGGGGTTTTAAAATAAAAAGGAATGAAATAAAAAACGATAAATTACGGATTGGGGTGTGGGGGGTGGGGGAAAGGTGAGAGAGGGCGGTGGGGAGGATGAGGATGCTCCGGGAGGGGGAAAAAAAAAAATGAGTAGAAAAAGCAGAAATGAAGGGCTCGGGGAGGGGGAAGGAGATAAAAGGAAGGATTCTGCTGGAATCGCGTCCCCTCCATGTTGGAAAATCCGAAATTCCCAACCTGAGAGCGTTCCTGGGGAAAAGCAGCGCCTCTCCCCTTCCCCTCCCCCTCTCCAGCTCCATCTCCCCGAGCCACAGAAGCCCTCGATTAATTGCGATTATTAATAATCCCAAATATCGCAACAATAGGTCGGGAGCTCCCGGCGAGCTCCAACCCCCCAACGCCGTGGATCCGCCTGGAAAAAAAAAAACAACCGAGCACCCCCCCAAATTTCCCTTCCTCCCGCACCCCAAAACAACAAATCCCCACACACACCCACAAAATCGAGAGAAAAAAAAAATTAAAAAAAAAAAAAAAAACAACGCGGGGAGAAGCGGAAAAAAATAAAAATAAAGTATGAAAAAAAAAATTGAAAAAAAAAATAAAAATAAGAGGGCGAGGGCGGCGGAATTAAAACAAATCAAGCAAGCCGGGGGAAGAAGAGGGGTGAGGGCTTGCAAAAGCGGCTCTGCGTGGAAGGAAGCTTAAAGCTTGTGAACTCTTCTTGAACCGAGATTGGAGTCATATGGTCATAAATCATTGGGACATATACTCCGCCATTCACAAAGTGATAGCCTATTTGAGTCCGGCTTACCTTAGTCTCTGACGAGCCAAGCACAGGCAGACATAATATATTTTCACATCCAGCATCCACGCAATCAATAAGCGAGGAGTGACCCCCCTCCCTCCCTCTTCCCCTCCCGTTACTCCCCGCTTTTTTTTTTTTTT